ATCATTTGCAAGAACAAATCTAATGAAAAATTTAGGGAAGATCCAAGATTTTTTGTTACTATTGTTCAAGATTCAGAGTGAATAAGAGGAGAAGAAATAAAATGTATGTGGACAAATCTTGCTAAAATTATTGCTCTTAATCTCCTTCATAAAAATCTCATTCTCTTTCAATTTTCAAAATGCTAGACTCCTTTACCTCTCATTCTATATACTTTTCCTAAGCTATCTGAACTATATGCTTTTCTTTAAGCAAAACTTTGTCCTCAGAGCTATTTATATTCAACTAACTTCCTTCTGGAAGCCTCAAATGACTGAGGATAAACATATCTCAGAGGCATCTCAGAAAAATGTAGGCATCTCAGAGGGAAATAGCTAACAGTATGGATGTAAACGTTCAGTTCCAGTAAAGCCTAAAGCTGCCTGCCCTACAAGATGCTAGAAGGAAAGAACGAAGGAGCTGAAAGAACAGAAAGAAATGCTTGAAAACTTCAACACACAAAAGAAACAGGAAGGCAATGATAAGCCTGGTTAAAAGGTCTGGCTAAAACAATGCTGCTGCTGATAAACTTAGCTGCTCTCTTTAGAGAAAACATCACAGACAATATGTACAACCGTAAACATATAGGTAATCACCATGTAAGTAATTCTTGTTACAAATATTATAAACAGAAGGAATATTTGAAGGATCGGCATAAACTAATTTGATTTTTGCCCATTAGAGATTAACTAATTTGTAAGAACTATCAGAATGACATTGACGAGTTAGGCATGAGATGTGGGTAGCTTGAATGGGAGTAGCACCTGTCAGGGAGTAAATATTCTAAGACAGATCATACAAGTATCGTTGGCAAAACTCTAGATAGCAAGGTGTATCAAAATATAAAACAAACAAACAGCAATCCAAAATATGCTGACTCATCTCAGGGTAATGTTAAGAAAAATAATAACTTTGACAGAAGTAAACATTTTTCAAACAGAGATTAGGAAATTAAAGTAACGGCCTTTTCCATTTATACATAAAGGAGATTTCACACCTTTTGATAATTTCAAATGCAGTGAATTTGAATGGTAGGATCCTCCCAAAACCCAAATGAATCTTGACCCCTACAATGACTCTTAACATCTCCATAAATTTGTTACAAGTTTGAGTATTATTACTCAGCAAAGTTCACTACCAGTACACACCTATGTGCTGCAATTAAATAAAGTTTTTATCAATATTTGGTAAGGATTTTAGGAAGCTTTTGTTAAAAATCTAAAGATGCTGCAAAGTAGTAAGTAACTTACTAATGGGCTCATATCTTTAGGGGATGTAAAAATAACTGCTAATGAATTCCTTTTAACCAATCATTAATACACATTCTATTAGTATCAAAGAGGCTACGAGAGCAAGACAGCTTCTCAACCTCAAGAGGCCTTTAGCTTTCAGCAAAATTTCACTGTCTGTACAAGAAATATTATTGTAACATCAATGACCAATGTAGTTGCATAGAAAGATACAGGCACTTGAGGAGAAGATAATATATATACCCATGAGTGCAACGGAGCAGATGTAAAGGTCCCTAAGTGTCAGCATTAAAGTGATTTTTTTGTTTGTTTCTTAAGTGTGATATTTCTACTAGAGGCCAAAGTCATTTCAGGTTTTTTTTTTTTTTTTTTTTTTTTTTTTTTTTTTTTAAGGCAAATGAGCAGTCAACACAAAGTTAAACATTTCTGTATCCTTTTTTCCTGTCTCCTACCTCCTGGTTTCCTCCCTCCAACCCAACCTTCTTCAAGTATCCATTGCAAAAGAATTAAAATTTTAACCTAAAGCCCGTCAATCATATACCAACAGTTTTCAGAGGCTATCAAAGGCCTAAATCAGAATTTGTGAACCTTTTGAGCTTTTGAATTTCACGGTTCAAAACTCCTGTTTCAAAGTTTACTGTCTAACTCAATATAATATTCCAGTTTTTAAGAAACAAAGGGCATAAAAAACATTTTTTAAATGCTTAGCCTGATTCAATGCCTAAAAAGAGTGTTCCTCAGACAGAATTTGAACATCCCTGACAATCCATTGTTTAAAAAGGCTACATTACTGATGGAGTTTTCTAGTGACCTTCCAAAAAGAAATATTTAAAATGCTATTTTGGTCTATTTGAGGAGTTATTTACTGTGTGCTAGCAATGGGATAAATACAATGCCTAATGTGATCCAGCATTGCAGACAACTTCTTATACAGCCAACTATAATACAAAGTACAATGTGATAACTGAGGTACAAAAGTACATGAGAATGTAAGAAAGTGAGATAATAATTTCAACTAAGAAGTTGAAGAAAGACTACAGAAATATGCCTCAAACAATCAGGAGAAATATATGAATATATTTCATGAGGCTAGCTTTTGTGTACCCAATAATGATCTTGAAACTCCTTCTTTATAAGTTACATATTGCCATTCATATAGTGCATCTTGCCTTGTTAACTATTTCTATTTCACATGAGACTGCCACCATATATAATCTTGCCTGTTTCTATTTATTACTTTTTCTGTAATTACTTTTTCTGTATTACCATTTGTATTTATTACTTTTTTCAAGGATTTTTCTTACTTGCCCCAAAATATTACATATAGTATACCTGAAATTATCTGACAATAAAGTAAATGGATTCATTTATAGAGTTTTAAATCAATGATATAAATAAAAAGATAGTGAAAGTTCAAAATTTAGTTGACAGAGCACTATAAAAGTACAATGTTTATAAGTATTTTCTTAAGATGTTTTTAATAGAAATATACCCTTGTTAACATATAACTACTTGATAAATATTATGTTTATGTAGATTAGTTAACGGTAGAATTAACTAGTTAACGGTAGAATCTGTTATATACTATATGCACAATTTAAATCCATTAATTTTTAACTCAAATGAATTCTAGATTGTTCTTATATTATTTAAACAATTTTGGCAGCATCAGTTTATAAAAATTAAGTCAACATCCAGTCAATTCTAGTGTCCATATTACTGTGTAGAGGAGACTCACGCATCTAACAGGTTAGACAGGTTAGTTTTCCCTAGAGCTGCAAAGTTTTCAAGGATATAATGAAGAAAGCTTCTGAGAGGCCCTAATGGTCTCATGAGGAAGGTCTCGTCCCTTCAGGGAAACCTACATACAACACAACGATTTCATTCTAGACAAATAAAGGGAGTAGATGTGACATAGTGAACGTCTTAGGCAATTACGAGTTTTCCAAATTGTTAAGCCCAAACCCCCCACATCAATACATCTTCCAACACACACACACACACACACACACACACACACACACACACACACACACACCCAGGAGATGTTAATAAAAAGAAAAACAAAGAAGTCTAAGCTTCAGGAAACTTCTCTTTCAGTATTTTAAATCAAAAGGACTAAATTTCTTCCTTTAACTATTGGCTTTATGAACTAATGTCCCAAAAATGTCATTTTCTTTTCTTAACGTAACCAGTATTTTCATTGCTTCAAGCCTTTTCAACTCTAGCCTGTGTAATATGACTGCAGGAGTACACACACATCCTTGTCCATATTTTTATCACCTCCTCAGATCTAACTGTTACTGTTTTCATAAAGTAAGTTTCCTGACACCTGCTGGGCAGAGAGCTGGTTGTTGTCAGGATGTTGCCTCCACATGGCACACTTCCTTAGGAAGAAAACTTTAGGTGAATTAAAATCCTATGTATAAGAAAATGACTGTGTTTATTTCTAAATAAATAATCCAGATTCAGAATACTAGAATCCAAATAAAAATCTAACTACGATTCCAAAGTTTTATTCTGGAATTCATCTCTGTCATTTGGTTGAAGAATCACTGATATTGATGTGGTGTCCTGATATTGATGTGGTGTTTTATACAATATTTTGTTTGGGATTGTATTGTTATATAGATCAATGGGAGGACAGGTGGATGAAACGTGACATCTTTAAAAATGTGTCTTCTCATTTAGGAATATTGACTATTTTACTATTTGTTCAGTTATTTTATATTCTTTAGAAAAATATTACACATTTCTTCATAGAATTTATTAAGTTTATTGATAAGTTTAAGTTTACTTCTAGGTACTTTATAGTTTTTTCCAGTTACATTTGCTAATTGGTTACAGCTGGTTTAAGTGAAAGCTACTGATTTTCACGGACTGATTTTCCACCTAGCTGACTGATTTTATACCTGCATTTTCCAGTGAAATAGAGAAATTTTTTAAAAAACATATGTTTTGTCCTCAGGGCACTTTAGATGGGAGGGGAGTTAGATGCCTTTGTTCCTTCAATCTGCCATGATAATCCAGTTTCTTGAATTTAATATTTTCAATTTGGGGGAGGAAACTAATTTAGGTATTTACAGCCCTAGGATTCACTAAGGACAGCATAACTCATTTGTAACCTAGTAACCATGTTTGTCACCAAATTACATATTGCCATGCTTACTAAGTAACTGCTCCAATGTGCTCTTTCAGCAGCCGGCCTGAAAGAAGTAAGTGCAAAGCTGAGTTAATTTAAGAATTTCGTTTCTGGAGAGGTGATTGTATTTCTTCTCTAACCATGGCTGTAGGGAGAAATGAAAAGCTCTATAACATTAGATTTTTTATCACTGAGATTAAAAAAAAAAACAGCAATTTTCTATAGTATTTATCCTTCACTTTAAATCCATTTACCTAAAATATTCTATCCCACTTCATGTGAAAACGTCTCTCTCTCTATATATAAATATCTAAATATATACACATATTATAAGCCTAAGAATTATCCATGTTTTTCCTTAAGCAAAATGATTCTAATATTCAATCATGAGGAAAAACATAACGTTTTCTTTCATGTCTTTTCCACAGAGTGGTCACATTTGCGTATTTTTATACGGAAGACAACTTCATCATCAGTCATTTATGACCACAGGCATGAGTTACAAGTTAGAAATTTACCTCAGTGTGGCTTTTGGAGGGTTAACTTACCTTCAAAGTTAAAGATATGTAACTAAAATCAGCTCTTAACTTTGATGTGTTTATATATTTTGAAGATCAGTTTGCGAAATATAAGATTCAAGTATGAGGTGTGATGAATGCATTTAGTTCACTTACAATATTTTGCTGCCATTCAAAACAACAGCTTGGAACATTGTGATCAATTTAAAAAAGGAAAATCTGAGTTTTTTTATATATACTACTATTTACAGAAAGGAAGTTTTCACCTAAACAGTTTTTTTAACTAACCAAAAATACCAGTACTTTTATTTATATGCTAAAACTACAGGTAATCCTCAGAAGTCATCTTATATTGTGTTTTACAAGATGGACCTACGAACCGTATTATTTTTAAATAAAATATATTTTGAGAATATCATTAATAGAATAATGCTACTGTGGTAAAGTTAAATAAGAGTAGGAAGAATATGAGCTCCTGTGTATTGTAATTTGAGAAAAACTGATTATACTAATATCATTTTGTATAACAAAGTCAGGGAAAATCCAGTCAAATACTAAAATTGACAGTGAAAATGAGGATTTTCTCTAAACTTTATCTGATATCAACTAAGGTCAATCTGTGTTATTACTATCAATGTCACATCACGGATCATCTTTTTATCCATTTTGACATCAATGTGAATACTGTATACTTTGTACTGTGAATATATTTATCTTGTCTTCTGCCCAGATTTTATAATTCACATTAACATATATTTTTCTTGTCAAATGAAGCCAAATATAAACCATTGGTAAATGTTCTATTACCCATTATCTCAGGCAGGGCTTAGGACAAAAATCAGATAACATGACCTCCCAATTTAAAGATTTATTACATGTTATTGTGAGGGCTCTAGGCTCTTTTCCCTAAAGGTTCACTAAAAATTACTGATATGAGATGGATTGATGAAGGAGAAAAAGCAGACAAATCTATTTAACATGTATACAGGGGAGCCTTCCATTCCATCCATCTTTGACATATGTACAGTTATAAGGTTTTCTATTTATTTTACCTTAACTTTTAACATATTTTGAAAATATTTGCATTTTTTTCATTTTGAAGATTTGTGTGCATGCACCTTAGCTTTTATTTTTTTCCACATAATAAAGTTTTCTGAACAAAACATTGAATTTATTTCGATATTCCTCCATTTTCTGTTCAGACACACCCTGATGGTAACTCCAAGACTCTTTGGTAACCAAACCTTTCTAATTTAAACACATATAATTTAGAATTTTATGAAATGGTTCTGTCTCAATGAATTGTGTTTATACTAGGTTGATAAAAGTGCACTCCATTTTATTAACCTCATGACCCTGAGATGCAGCAGTCATAGCAATGCCTATGGACATGCAAGGAAGGACCACCTGCCCATATCTGAAAAACGTGGTTGGGAGTAAGAGCCTCCACTATCAGCTTCTTCTGTTTCATCACAGCTTTTGAGCTGGGGTCACTCTTCTTCAAGTGGCCACAGCAGATCATTGAGCAAACTAAGGTATAAATGTTGGGCTTTTTTTTTTTTTGCTTCACACAGAACTCTCCTAACCAGCAATGTTTCTTTCAGGCCTGCCTGTTGGGCTGGTAGATTTTATAAAACCGAAAATGTGGTCTGAAAGTTTCTCCTACACAATCCTGCCTCTTTCTCAACCCACGCACGCCCCTTTTTATAACAGGTATTACTCTCCAATTAACTTTTCTAGCCCTTCTAAACTTCACTGTCAGCCTCTGCAGCTCAGAAGACCTAACTTCACATAATGCAGAATTTTCTACTAGTAACACAGCCCAAATATTGCAGATTAATTATGCCATCTATCCACTGGGTAAAAACACATCCTCTTAGCCTTGATATTAAGTGGGATAATATAGTTACAAATTCTTTAAAATTACAGTATGTAGCAGGAGCTACTGCAAGAAACAGAGCTCTCAAACACAGAACTTCCCCGTTACTACGGAGTTTATTAATATTACAGCCGGGAGCCGGGTAATGATTTGTCTAAATGACCCAGCTCATCTAACAAAGAGAGACTCTGCGTTTATATAGGCTTACACTCTAGATATTATACATGAAAGAATCTTAGGTTTACAGCCTTAGAAATTACGGGTGAAGGGTTTTGGGTTTACAGCTCTAGTTTTGGGCTTACAGTTTTAGAAATCACATATGAAAGGGTTTTGGGTTTACAGCTTTAGGAGCTACATGTGAAAGGTTTCTGGTCTCCGGATGGAGGAGTAGGGTTGGGGTTTGATCTTGTTTAAGTAAAAACAGTGTCTTCCAGAGAGATTCCCCAATACCAAGCATGCTATTTACAGGAAGGTGATTCAGGAGGCGCCAGTCGGCTGGCCTTTCTCCTTCTATTGAAATGCAGTGTGGAAATCAAGGGAGAGGTGATCCCAGATGCCTGGGTCTCCTTCCTCAGTATCACCAACCATAAAACCATTTGTCTGGAACTATAAAAAATAATTGTAACTTTGAATAGTATGTGGCACACATCTGTAATTCTCAATCATCAGTTTAATTCCTTATGTATGTAATGGCTTGCATATTTTATGAAGCATTTCCAGATACTCAAAATAGAAAAAAACCTCGTATGTCCATGTTCTGAGTGCCATTTCTTCAACTTCAAAAGTGAATAAGGTCATTTTCAGTGTGAGAATGGCTGTCTCCAATTTCCATTTTTTATTTCAGCAACAGAATTTTAGAACACATCCAACCTTTCCTACCATATCAATTAAAGGAACAGCAGCAGCAACATCAGCATTATGTTGTCTTTTTTAGAGATCAAAACTACATTATTATTTTTAGATTTTGAATTAATTAATTTATTCTGTGGTAGAGAGCATGTGTTTACGTTTAGAAATAGACGCCTTTCATCATGATCCTGATAGGTCAAGGTTTGTCTCTCTTTTGTTTTTTACTCATTCAAAATGTAATCAATTAGTTACCTGTGCCTTCACATAACAGATGAACATTTATGGAGTGTTCTGTAAATAGCTATAGCTGTGTCTGTGTGCGTGTGTGTGTGCACGTGCGTGCACGTATGCAAATTACTAGAAGACATGTTAGTAAAATCAGCAAGGCTAATAAACTTACAATGATTTCAAGTGAGATATATTTTTTCTTTTCCATTTTAATATTTTCATTAAACATAAAATATCACAGCTGCTAATGTATAAGTTATTATATGACTCAGGATTCTACCAGTTGCAAATGACAGAAACTCAACAAAAATGAGCTTAAGCAAGATATAAACTATATTGACTCATTAATTAAACTACAGATCTCCAAGCAACCAGAACCAAAAATTTATAAGCCACTGGCTCAGTCGAGCATTCTCATTCTCTCTTCATTTCTCATATTTGTTTCTCTTGCCCTGCTTGTCTTATTCTCTCTTGCTGTCTTTCTAAAGCTAGAAACATTGATGGGACAAGTTCTAGGCTCTCCCCTCTTAAGGTTTCCATTCCAAAATAAAGGATCCTTATCACATAACCCCAACTTTAAAAATTCATGAGAAGAAACTTTTGTTATTTTGTTTGGTGGACGCTCACTTCCGTGGCCCAGAGCAGGGTTACTAAAAGGAGAATCTCATATAAAACTACATAGTTGCTCTGAGAATCCTGAGCTTTGGAAGGACAAAATAAATACACATATACACAAAATGTGCCTACAATTTTCCAACAAAAGATGGGAAGTATGGTAGCCAGGGCAAATCAGTTGATGTGCACATCTGTTCCTCTGATCTAATTCAGTGGAAGCTCCTACTAAGTATTTGATTGAAGTGATCAAATTTGCGGAAATAAAATTCAGTGGAACAGTTAGAATTTAATTTATTTAGTTTGTAAATGGTAAGATGAACAAATATTTGAGAATTCAAAAAACTGTTTAACCCTTTTATGAATAATTAATCAGGTGTTTCCTTAAAAGTAAATTCACCTTGGAGTAGAGGAATGGTGGTCTGCCTGTTGAGAATCAATTCACTTGCTAAAATTCAGAGACAATGATTGGACAATTGTTTGACATGCTAGAAAGTGATAGAGAAACATTTGATTGACAGGTTTGTTGCAGAGCTCCTCATTTTAAGTATGTGCTAAATCGCCATTTCATAGCTAACATTTATTGAGATTTTTTGGTCTTCCTTGTAGTAGGTGGAAGGTTTGCTCTAATTTGATCAATATTAATAAAAAACTACCATGCTACAATCAAGCACTGGCAAAAAAAATGAATAAATATTGCACAGATCTTGCTCTGTAACTGCACATAGCACAATTAGGAAGACACAAAGGTAAAACTAAAATTATATATACATAAATGTATCCACAGATGTGATATTTGTTATTATAAAGCTATAAAAGAAAATGTACAATAGGAAAATTATTTTTAAGATAATGTCTGGAAATTTGGGAATACAGAGAGGTTTTACTTTGGAGGTGATGCCCAGTGGACATTTGGAAGAATCAACGAGCTTATCAGTTATGAATAAGAATAAGGAATAGAGTCACAAAACATGTGCTAAGGCATAGAGTCACAAAATGACATCATATCTTGAAGTATTATAAATATTTAAGATTGCCCAGCATAGTGGCTCCCATCTATAATTCCAGCACTTTAGGATGCCAGACAGGTAGATCGCTTGAGCTCAGGAGTTTGAGATCATCCTGGGCAACATGGCAAAACCCCATTTCTACAAAAAATTTAAAAAATTAGCTGGGTGTGGTAGATTTCACCTGTGGTCCCAGCTACTTGGGAGGCTGAAGTGGGAGGATCCCATGAGCCCAGAAGGCAGAGTCTGCAGTGAGCCAAGATTGCACCCTTGCACTCCAGCCTGGGTGACAGAGCCAGACCTTGTCTCAAAAATACATAAATAAATAAGATAAATGAAAAATAAAATTCATGAGTATTACGGACAGAATTTAGATGGTTAGTAAACGCCAGTAAATCAATGATCTTGCAGGTTAGCAGAATTTATTCTATCATAATTGGAAGTTTGTAAATAGGAGTTGGGCTAGTTAGGGGGAAACGAGAAGATCAA